GATGGTGAATCAAAACCCACATAAATTCCAAGTCTTCGTTGGGGACCCATTTTAGTACGTTGTGGGGGTGAAATAGGAACTTGGACAGTACAACCAAATACCCGTAGGTGAGAAATATCAGGTTCATAGCCAAATGTCAGTTGCAAAGGTGAATATTGATAATAGACACTTGGTCTAATACAAACCAATGCTGCAGCATGTAGTATAGCATGACTCCAAACAGAAGCTGGGAGTTTTGTTTTCATAAGTAATGGTCTAGCAATAAGTTGTAGACGCTTAATAAACGACTCTGCCAAACCATTGTGTATGGACATGCGCAACTGAATGTTCAATTACAATCCCGATTGACATACAATAATCATCGAATGCTTGTGATCTAAATTCACCAGCATTATCAAGGCGAATAGTTTTAATTGAGTAATCGGGAAATTGTGCTCGTAATTTTATAATTTGAATAAGTAGTCTAGCAAAGGCTACATTCCTAGTGGAAAGGCAAACATGTGACCATCTAGTGGAAGAATCAATTAATATCATAAAATAACGAAATGATCCACATGGTAGGTGTATTGGCCCACATATATCTCCATGAATTCTTTTCAAGAAAGTTGGAGATTCAATTTTGACCTTTGTAATTGAAGGTCTAATGACTAACTTGCTTTGCGAAGAAGCTACACATGGATAATCATTAGGTAAAAGAATCTTCTGTTTCTTTAAAGGATGTCCATGTGAGTTATTTATTATTCGACGTATCATTATAACTCCTGGATGTCCAACTCGATCATGCTAAAGTTTAAAATTTTTTGAGTCAACGAACTTCTGATTCGTGACATTATTTGATTCAACCATTTTTATAAATGTATAATACATGCCAGATGGGAGTGCATGGAATTTTTCTTTTATCTGCTTCTGACCAAATACAAAAGAAGTTATACAAAGATATTCGATATTATTTTCTTGTGTCGTCTTAATATGATATCAATTGCAATGGATATCTTTAAAACTAAGTAAATTTCTTTTGAATTTGCTAGAATAAAGTGCATCGTTAATATATAATTTTGTATTATTTGGTAAAATTATACAAGCTCTTTCGGAGCTTTCAACGATATTCGATGCATCTGATATTGTATTTACATTATTCTCTTTTAATGTTAAGTCTAAAAAATATTTTTATCTTGAAGAATATTATGTGTACTTGTACTATCAATCAAGCATGTGTCTTGACAATTTATCATGAATCTTTCAATATAACAAAATAGATATATATTTAAAAAAAACTTGAATTTAAATTCAAAATGATAAGCATAATTAATACTGTGAAATTAACAATAGATAATAAAGTTCAAAATTTTTGCGAAAAATAAAAACATATTTCAAACTAAATTTCTAAAATAAGGAGAAATGCTAAAAACATAAAAAAAAATTAATCTATATCTTTCCTCACACCACCCCCAATCGAATGGTCAATATTTTCATTTAGATCAGCAAAGAAATTGGAGACATCCAAATGAGTCACATCAATTGGACCATCATAGTCAGCAAAATTTGTCTCAACTTTTTCCTTGCCCTTAATTGATTTTTGGTAGAGATCGACAAAGTATTTTGCCGTATGATAGGTACGTGTTCAATACCCTTCCATTCCACATCTAAAACAACTTTCTTCATGTACCTTTTTAGGTGTGCTACTTTCATTTACTTTGTACCTTTTGAAATTGTTGCCTTATTGTTGATAACTTTGTTGATTATTTAGTCAATGATTTACTCCGCGTGCACGTTCGCGTCCACGTCCACGTCCTTGTCTTGATATTGCATTTGCTTCAAGCAATGCAGTACCATTTGCTTCAGGCAATGGTACAAAATCAGTTGGACGTAACCCATGATTTTTCATCAACAGTTCATTATTCTATTCAGCAACAAGCAGACAAGATACAAGTTCTGAGTACTTTTTGAAACCACACTCGCGATATTGCTGCTGCAGGAGCACATTTGAGGCATGAAATGTGGAAAAAGTTTTCTCCAACATATCTTCATCAGTGATTTTTTCTCCCCGCAATGTCAATTTTGAACATATTCTAAACAATTCAGAATTGTACTCGCTAACATTTTTGAAGTCTTGCAAATGAAGGTGAATCCACACATAACGGGTTTTTGGAAGGACTATAGTCCCTTGATGATCAAATCTTTCAGTTGATTTTTTTTCCAAAAAACATGTGGATCTTTCTCAGTAAGATATTCAATTTTCAGTCCATCGTGAAAATGATGACGAAAGAAGATAAATGCTTTTGCATGATCCTATAGAGATTCTTTATTTCCTTCTTTTATTATCTCTCTCAAACCTTTTGAAACAAGATGGATATCAGCATCAAATACTCATGATAAATAATTTTTGCCAGAGATGTCAAGTGCAGCAAACTCAAATTTTGTGATGTTTGCCATTTGATTAACTACACAATAAAGTAAAAGAAAATATAATTAGTTTCGAAGAATATGATTAAACATCATATAATAATTAATCAAGTAGTCAATATCAATATGACATAAGTTACGTGTTTTCCTTCAAGGATAAATACTAAAATAATATGTTCTTCGAAATATATGCTATTTCAGGAGCATGTATTTTATTATTACTTCTTCAAGATCAATAGGTTAATATTCTTCTGGAATATTGAAAAATATAATTTATACTCTTCAGGAGTAAATAATATTCTTCGAGAATATTAATTATAATGTTGTGCTATTTCGAGAGCAACAACAAATTATTTATAATAAATAAATAAAGTACTAAATTCATAAATTATCATAGTTATAAAACCTGAACTGGACCGGCCGGTTCAGTCCGAAAACCGCTGAATCGGACCTAGGTCGGGTCTGAGCTCATTGAATTTAAAACTGGACAGGTGACCCGTCTTCAGCACGATTGGACTGCCGATTTTTAAACAAACCCATGCACCAATTTTTCGTGAGCCGGCTGGTTAAGAAATTAGAAGGATTGCCTTCAATAAAGTTTCCCCAATCCTGTTTCTACCCCAATTCTCACAGAAATTAGGGATTCTTCACGCTTGCGAAATCAATCAACTCGGTTTCCGTCTCCATTTTCTCGCAATTCAACCACTCCCAAAAATCCAAATACCCAAGTTTGAGTTTTAAGAGATGGAACTCGAAGAGCAGGTCAGTCTATCTGATTTTTTTCTACAAAACTCGACCAAAATTGATTTTATAGTTAAGCTAAATTTCTGAATCCCCTGTATATGTGTTCTTCTGTTAATTTTTTTTTTGTTCAAATATATTACAATAAGAAATTATTGTCTTGTTTATTTCGTTAGCTGTGGTGATGGGAAATAGGCTTTTCGTTTCTGTGGTTAATTCCAAAATGGTCACTGGGTTTAGTTTCAGCTTGCATGAATTTATTTTGCTTCTGGCTGAGTTTCATGACAAGTTAATTCTAAAGTGGTCACTGGGTTTAGTTTGGGCTTGCATAAATTTATTATGCTTCTGGTTGAGTTTTCATAACAAGTTAAATGATTACAGAGTTCCAATTTTCATGAATATTGAATAATGAAGTGGTGGACTTCTGACATCTATATTAGTGTCAAAGATAAATCAAATT